ATATACACAGAATATTTGTGGGCTGATGACATTTAGGTATATATCCCCTCCTGAGAAATACAGTGTAAGGAAGTCTGAAAAGGCCCATCGCAGAGTACACTGGCACACATTTGTCAATGAGCAACATTCATTCTTTACTTTGAATAAAACATTGATTGTAACATAAAAGCTTGGAAGCAAAGTGACTAGAACAAATTTGTAGTTCATTCAGCTTTTGAACAAATGAAAGGAACAAATAAAAGGAGAGCAGTATTCAAACACTGGCTGGCAGGTGTGAATATCCTAGTATCAAGGCAGTGTCATCTTTTGCTTTACTGGTTTGTGTTAAAGTTCTGAATTTTCTATCCTGTTATAGGCCTTGGTCTGTTTTATTCACTTCTGTATCCCCAGCTACTAGGAAAGTGTTTGTTTGACATATCATAGCTGCTCAGAAAATATTCATTGAATGAATGCTGTGGAGAAAGGGGCAAACCACACTCTTCGCGTTCTCAGTATGCCGGGTGGAACTGCCGATGCCGAAGGCTTTTGCTATCCCTGTTTACTTGTCACTTTCCTTGACTTTCTGGAGAAGAATGAACTTAGATGTGCTATAAACAAGGATGCCAAGTGCATGCATCTCAATATAAGCAGAACTAAACCTGTGATCTTTCTCCTCAAATTAATGCCTCTCTTATATATACGCCATCTACCCAATAACTTGGAAGTATTTTAGACTTTTCTCTCTCCCTATCCCATTTCCTAGTATAACCAATTTGTCATTATATACTGTACATTCCCCCCTTTTGCTATTGTTCACATCCTTCCTCACCTTGTTTTTCTCACTGCTTACTGCTTTAATCACACTCTTTTTATTTCTTACTGGCCTGCATTGTATTTTGTGTTCAATAGTCTTTTATTCCTCACCTAATCATACTTCTCTGAAAGCTTTTTATTCATTGAAATTACATTTAAAATGTCTTGTGACCACAAAGTTTTAAGAGAAAAATACACACATACACTGAATACATGCACATATGTACAAACATATATAGTATATAGGGATACAATTATTAGTAGTCCATAAATTATAAACAGCATGAATATATGTTTAATGTATTTTCAAAGATCTCTTTGTTGTCCCCAGGGTTTTTAAACCCAGGGCAAAGAGCTACAGTAAAATTCAGGTAAAGTAGGAAAGGGCAGCAGTGTGGGAGGGCAGGGGTGTTGACATGCCTGGCTTCCAAGAACACATGCATCTCAAGAAGGGACCTTTGGGAAAGAATTCATCTGAGAAAAGAGGGGATGGAACTTTAGCCCGTTAAGCAATCTATGCCCAGAGGCCCCTAGGAGAGTCTTTGTGTTTTCCTGGGTCTCATGGACACCAGTTTAAAGATCACTGTTCTAGATCACAAATGAGGTAAGATCCCTCCCTTTGCTTAATTTTCCAGTGTTTCTCATGGCAACTGAATGGGCTACTCTTGGATCTTACTTGTTCTGCCTCATATCAACTTAATTTTTCTCAACTTCTTTCATGTTTCTGTTTTTACCCCATACCCTACCCATATCAATCATGTACCTTGTCTTGAATTGCCATCCAGCCACCCATGTCTTTACCCCTTTCCTCACTGGCCTAATTGCAGACATTTGCTAAGAATGAAATAAGGATTGTTAACTCTACAATGGAACACACCTCTTTGTAGGTGTTAAATAAATGGTGGTAATTATGGTTTTCTAATACAGTTATTATATGATAAAACAAGAGTTTAGAAATTCCCCTCCAACTTTCTAGAGAGTAAGTGACATAATCATTATCTTTATTCTTTGTTTTAGAATCATTCAAAACCCAGAATGAGTTCAGCTGGACTGGACTAAGAGAAAACCAGAAAACTGTCCCAGTTAATGATATGAATAAAAAATAATAATTAATTATCTGTTATAACCAGTACAAGTAAATACAGATCCCCACCCTCTGGTGTACACACTGCATAATCTTCTCCCCTTGGGTGTGGATGAAACTTTTGAATACAATGAGAACTACTCTTGTGATTAGGTTATATCATACAACAAAGATGAAGAGATTTTGCATATGTAACTAAAGTCCCTAATCAGTTGACTGTAAGTGAATTAAAAGGGAAATTAACCTAGGCAGGATTGACCTAATTAGGTTAGCTCTTTAAAAGAGAGTCTGGAGGTCAAACGCTCAAAGCAGGAGAGATGCTATCCTGTTGGCAGGAGTAAACTGCCATATTGTAGAGGGGGTTATGTGTCACAGAAAGTTAGGCAGTCTCTAGAAGAATTATACCACAGCCTTAAAACCACAAGAAACCGAATTCTGTCAAAACTAGTGAACTTTAAATGCAACATGGAGTTTTACATGAGACCAGAGGTGTGGTGGGTACCTTGATCAGGTCCTTTTGAGACCCTAGCAAGGAACCCGCTTGAGTTATGGCTGGACTCCTGACCCACAGAAAATATGAGACAATAAATGTGTGTTGCTGTTAGCCACTAAGGTTTTGGTAATTTGTTATGCCACAGTAGAAAATAAAGGCACAATTGAATCCACCACCAAATTTTTGGTTTCACATTAAGGCTTTACTATATATGTGAACCAAAACATTTGAAAGAATATTCATAAAACATTATCTCTTATGCTTTCCAGTATGTCAACTTCATTTCATTCACTTTAATAGAAGTATTATCTCTTTATAGTCATATTTATATCTCTTTCATATATGTATTTTTTAAACTAAAAGCTATCCTTTAATAAAATATTTCCAAAATATGCCCAAAACTCAGAAGGCTTTTTAAATCTGAGTTATACAGGTTTGGCTCACAAATTGTTGTTTTTTTGTTTTGTTTTGTTTTTTAGAATTAACACCCTATAAATACTATCCTCTGCTTAACAAAGACATTGGAATTATATAGCATGTTACTTGTGTAACTAGCCAGCTCCTCTTTGGACAGAAGGGAAAAAAGAAACCTACTTAATAGCTAGAAAGTGTCATAGTCATTGTATTTCTTGCCTCTCTCAATCTCTTTTTAAAAATACCCTAAAGATTGGTTTGGAACTGAAGAGGAGGGCAACATTTGGATTTCTTGGTGTGTGTATGCTAGTTGAAGGGTGAATGTGCAGGTGAGCATGTGTGTGTGTGTGTCTGTGTGTGTGTGTCTGTGTGTGTGTGTGTCTGTGTGTTTGTGTGTGTGTGTACAGGTTTTATTCCAGAGAAGATTTATAAGAGTACCTAAACTGACCAGGCATGGTGGCTCATGCCTGTAATCCCAGCACTTTGGGAGGCCAAGGAGAGCAGATCACCTGAGGTCGGGAGTTCAAGACCAGCCTGACTAACATGGAGAAACTCTGTCTCTACTAAAAATACAAAATTAGCCTGGTGTGGTGGTACATGCCTGCAATCCCAGCTTCTCAGGAGGCTGAGGCAGGAGAATCACTTGAACCCAGGAGGTGGAGGTTTGGCAAGCCAAGATTGTGCCATTGCACTCCAGCCTGGGAAATAAGAGTGAAACTCCATCTCAAAAAAAAAAAAAAAAAAAAGTACCTAAACCACACATACACACACACACACACACATACACACACACACACACACACACAAAATCAAAAGGGAAACAGTTGGTTTATTTTACCTAACTGGTGTAGAACAATGGGAAGACTAATACAATTTTAAAAGTCAATGAGTGGAACCAACCTAATCTATACAGAGAAACACTATGACAGGAGTCATCTTTTATTTTAAAGGACAAAACAGATGATTCAATTTCCTGGGAACACAGTGTTTTACTCTGAAAGGCTTCCAGATTCTTCAGTTATTTCATATATGCCAGGCATATCCCCTGCCTATGGGATTATTGTCCAAAATATTAAGAGTTGTCCAAAACATTTCCTTTCCTTTTATCAGTAGGTCTACATTGAGAGAGATTTACCTTGGCAGTATCATGGCGTGGATAATTTTCAATTAGGTTTGTTCAGAGGAATTTCCCCATCATTCTGCTATAGTGAAATATATGAAAATCAATCCATGCCCTCTTAATTGTATATTTTACTCTAGGTGCTGGTGCCTGATCTTATGTAGGTTATTTAGCTTTACATATCTGTCCATATATACATAACTTTATATTATCAGGCCAATTTATAACACTATTATACCTTACTAAATTTATGCAATTCTATTGATTTTAAAGAATTTTAGGATCCAGTTGAAAAAAATAAGAACTGTATTCAAAGAAATGAAAATATTATGTAATATTATTTAAGAGAACAGTGAAAATGTATGAGTTAACGATAGAGGAGAGGACCAAGTTCATAGATCGAAAGGAACAATACAAAACAAGTTAAAAAAATAGTTTTTATCGTAAATTCAGAAAAGCTGGGTAAGGGCCAGCATATGGAAAAATGATTGTATGGACTGCTAAAAGACAGATTGAAACAGAATGCAGGCTGGGTACAAGGACAGCCAGAGAAGTAGGGATCAGCTATAGGTATTAGAGACATCTGTGATAAACTTCTGTTAGACTTATTATTCTTCATTGCAGCCTCTGTCACTCACCAGAAGAGGTTCACCATCAGTTGAGAGCTCATGTTATATCTCTGGGGAGGAAAGGTAGGTAAAGGATACAGGATTGGAAGGCAAGGATCTAAGGTCCTAGCTTTTACTCCCCTAATGACTTTGTGATGCTGCGCACATTTCCGATCTTTTTCTCTCTGTGGTTTTTCAAATTTTCTTGATAACGTTAGAATGTTTAGGCTCTTGCCCTGTTGAACATTTTGCCATAAGTAAAAATGTTTTCTGTGAATGTGTGTATGTGCATATTTATCACTGTCAAAATAATCAGTCTCTGAAAATGCAAAAGATTGGGTAGGATTATGTAACACATTCTTAAAATATTAAAACCTGCACACATTAAAGCATCAAGTTAAATAGTTGTTAACCTGTCTCACTAATAATCGCCTGCTTAGATCCAGTCTGTGAGAGGAAAAGGAAGCAATAAATTTGACCTTCACTTACCGCATGTTTTAATTGCACAGTACTCCCAGCGGGTGTGAGGGTCAAGAGTATAGCACCATGGCCTCGGCTGGCCATCGGGATTGCGGCAATAATTATCATCAAAGCCCTTGTCGGGATATCTGCAAACCACACCAAGAAAAGTGTCACGTAAATCTGCCTGGAAACACCACCCACCCCTCAGCTCACAAAATAACTTTCCACTTAGGTTGTCTACACCTAGCTGAGGAAAGAGGACGTTTTCTATGTCTTGCCTTACAAGGACTGCTTATCACTGACTATTGAATCTACTAATTTATATATCCCACTAAGGATAGAGTATCATCCCCTGGCTAGTAAGTTAGGTCCATGTGGTACCTTCCCACTAGCTGGTTCCAAATCGAGTCTCTTTGTCCTAGAACCCAGTTAAGGGCAGATTACAAAAACATGACCTCATGTAGAGTGCTCATTAAGAAAACAGGTCCTCTTCTAGGGAAGGCTTAAAGCTCAAACTGAAAGTTCGTTTTCAATAGCGCTGTAACTAATGACAGCTCAGTTTTGGAAATAGAGCCTTTCAAGGTCATGCCCTCACCTTCACCAGATCATGAGACAAACTTCATCACACTACTTTCTCCACACCCCACCTCCCTTCAAATGAACAAAGTCCTGAATTGGTGACTTGATTTTAATTGCTACCATATCCCTTCTGCTCTCACTTAAACGACAAGACAAGCATTTATTTGGAAAATAAGCTGAAGTTTTAATTTCATTTAAAATAACAACAAACAAAAAAGGATAGAGGAAAAGAACAAAGAGAAAACACCTAACATCAATTTCCGAAGAAAGGTGGGGGATGAAGTTTCATGTGTAATTATTTGTATTTTTATTCTTTATAATCAAAATAAAGGAACTTCTTCCTTTTTTTTTTTACCTTAAAAGTTTTATGTAAAATATATGGTGAAAAGTAGACATTATTATTATTATTATTATTATTATTTTTGGCGGAGGTGGGTAATGGCTTAAGCTCAAAACCTACTCCTGGGGGAAAAAGATAGATTTAGCTGCCTGACTTCTCCAAATGGGCTTTTTATATGGGCAATTTCAAAACACACCAGGATAAAGCAACCTGAATGGTCTGCTCTTTTACTCCATTTCTATGAGCACTACTTATTTCATGTTGTTATGCGTGTCACTTGCAGTACCTGAGTCTCTGAAGATGCAACTCCAGATTTGCCTGCAATTAGTAACAATACCTCTAACCACAGCTAAGGCTTGTCAAAGTGGTCATTACTGAATTGGCCCTGTGGTTTGCTTTGGTTTTGTTTTGTTTCTGCTCTGAGAGAGAAAGAAGCTTCTTTTAGTGCTTCCACTCTACACCCTGCTGATGATTTTGTGTTTAGTACCATGCTGATTTTAGAAACTCTGACCAGTTGACTATGTAGTCAGTGTTCTCATATACCTCATCAGAAATATTTTTGCCCTTTGACTATTTCCTCCAAATATAATGGCCAGAAATTCTGTCAGAAGAACTCCTGAACATTCTGGGAGTTCTAAATGTTATGCTCATACCCTATCGGGAAAACACAATATAAGGAGAATTTCCACAGCGGTGTGTCTTAGAGTGAATAGAAGTTTATAAAAGAATCATTGAAAGCATGATTCATTAATATTTTACCTTTCAGGCAAGAATTGGTGCCGGTGTGGTGTCTGATGATCCCAGCGCTGACAAATCTTGCCTGATTCTGTATGATCCATGAGACCTCGATAACTCTCCCCATTGCAGGTCATGCATTCAACTAATAAAATTAAAGTATGGCATGTTAATTGTTTCTGACAGCAAAATCAAAAACAACACTGTTCCATTTAAAGAACAGCACCTGTTTAGTAAACAGATTTTTTAAAAATCCTACACATCATCCTAACTTTTTATTAGGGCCTAATGTCCATAAATAGTGACATAAACTACTCCCTACGGAATACATCATACAGTTTAAGTGGGATTTTTGTAATTAGTGTCACACAGATTTACTATAGGGCCACGATGCTGTCTATCTATTTTTTTCAATAACTGTCTCAAAGGTATCTAGAAAATGGAAATAAAAGACATATCCTTGGAAATTTTTCCTGTGTTAGTCTAAAGTGCAAAGATCTCAGTATCTATTTATCAGCACAATAGTGTTTCTCTCTCAATTTGCCCTCCAAACACATACACAGTAATTACAAAGGTTAATTGAGTTTGTGTCATACTTTTATGGTTAATGCCACAATCAGGACCACATAGATTTAAGAGATTGGCTTCACATAGAAATCTGGTGCAATTCAAAGAATACGGATCTTTTTAAACAATAAATCACAGCTCCTCTCTGTTAGCAAACATCCATGTTGAATAGGCTGGGCAGGTTTACATTCCTATCTGGCTTAGGATAGAAGATGACCTGCTATTGAACTCCGTGTGTCCACTCTTTTTAAAATGTATAAGCTAATGTAATTAGGTAGGATCTCACAGATGATTTTGTGAGGTTAATTCATTGTTCTCTTCTGGCTGGCCCCTTATGTCACACTGAAAACTGAATCACATCAATTGCTGAAAGTGAGACTTCTCAAACAGACAGGTTGATTTGTAGCACAGCAAGCATCCTGTGGAATAAATCATTGCTTGGCTTTCCTACGAATCAGGCAAACTTCCTTAAACACATCATTTGTATCTTATAATTACTGATAATCTAACTTTAGCTGAAGTGGGAAGAGGCATCAATGTTTAGTTTTATCCAATGGAATCTAGCCTAATGAGTATTTGTAGTAATTTGGGATTATAGTATTAGAATCATCACTTTTGAATCCTTGATTCTTATAATCCAATAGGCACATTAACTATTAACTTTCTGAAACATGAATAACTTGGCTTGATCCATCTACTTTCTTTCATTTATATTAATATATGGGCTAAGAGGTCAACTCAGCTTCCCTTCATTTGATACTGAGATTCCCCAGACTACACCCAGTAAGCATCTGAACTGTAAATGAGTGAAGTCCATGAGCGTATCAATAAAGGTGCTCAGGTTGGCCAAGGTCATTGCAATGATCAACACAGGTGATGCAATGTTACATTTCAGCTTTCCACTTGAATGGTTAATAGGTTCATTTAGTTCTCTCCCTTTGTTTTTAAAGAACACAAAGTTTGATACCATCAAGGAAAATGATGCAGCATTTATCATTATTTGTTTCTTTGTATTGAATGAAATGTACAATAGAGTACTAGGGTCACATATAAAAGATAAGTATTCATATATACAATTTCTACTCTTGTACTCAGGAAAGAGATTACATCTATTATGCCTTCTTCAGCAAATGCAGCTTATGATAGTATATTCCTTTCTAATGAGAGTGAATAGAATTATTTTCTGGTAAACACTACATTGAGCAATATTATAAATTTTTTTCCTTGACTTATACGTTTTAATGGTTTTAAGAAAAAAAAAGCTACATGAATGAAACAGACAGTTCCATAAGATGACGACATTTCATTATGAGTGTGGCAGATCAATGCTTGTTCAAGTATGAATGTGCATAAAACCACCTTGAGATCCTGTTAAGAGGCAAGTTCTGAGTCAGTGGGTCTGGGCTGGGGCATTAATAAGAAGCTCCCAGGGGTTGCTGCTGCTGCTGGTACTTGGACCTCACTTTGCTTTGCAACTTTCTAGATAATGGGATCTATTGTAAAAGTTCTAAGTATTTGGCAGTCATAGTCTAGGCAGAGACTAGTCAGTCTAGTCTCTCACAGGGAGAGACTAGATTTTACTGGGACCTTGAATAGATGAGAGTTGAATCAATTATAAAGGGACAAAATAACAAAAAATCAGAAGCATACTTATGCTATCTTGATAGTAAAGTGAAGAGAGAGTTATTATTGCAGTTGTGGGCCTAAAAATAAATAAATAAAAGTTATCAAGAATAACGTTACATTTTAGAAAGCAATGAAAGTTATTGTTGGGGTGGGAATTAAACATGTCATGATTGCATTGAGATATTTAGATATATTATAATAACATATTATTTGATTGTTTATACCATAATTTTAACATAAAAGGTATCAGCCAGGTGTGGTGTCTCAAGTCTGTAATCCTAGCACTTTGGGAGGCCAAGGTGGGCAGATTGCCTGAGGTCAGGAGTTTGAGACCAGCTTGGGCATGGTGGCACATGCCTGTAGTGCCAGCTACTTGGGAGGCTGAGGCAGAAGAATTGCTTGAACCCAGGAGGTGGAGGCTGCGGTGAGCTGAGATGGCACCACTGCACCACTCCAGCCTGGACAACAGAGCAAGACTCTGTCCAAAAAAAACAAAAACAAAAACAAAAACAAACAAACATGAAAGGTATCATCTGATTCTTACAGTGAGGAAAACAAGGTTCACAAAAGTTTTAAGAGACTTACCTAAAACACAAAATGTTAAACCTGAGCCTGGAACACAAATCTTCTGACCCCACAGTCTTAGTATTTTTTGCATTATCCCAAACTGCCTTTTTGTTTTACATATTTTAACATATTTCCTACATATTCTAACTGGTTATACTCTATGATATACTTACTGATAGCAATAACTTTAGAAAGTTGGTATCCCTACCAGCTTGTCCTCTTTGCCCTCTGCTTTTTTGTTTACAACAGTTAACTTGCTCTCCTTTTGCAGGCTCATCTACTGCAGCATTGCAGGGAAAGTGCATGGGAATGTAACTAGATTGGATACCTTATCCAAAGTCAATGGCTGAAAAGTTGGCTGTTTTACAATGGAATCAAATCATCAAGTTAGTCATAAGAATTATCTCAAGAAAGTCAAATTTTTAACTCATATTCACTTTTCAAACTTTGAGAATTCTCAGATTCTTCTAAATTTTCTTAAAATCAAGCAGTTCAGGTGAAAACAAGTCCACGTACTCAAGGAAACAGGTGAACATATAAACTATGTAACAGTTTACATGTAGGAATGCCCTTTGGCTCTTTCTATTACTGTCAGTACATTATTTAACTGCTCCAGCAAGTTCTCCTCAAAAAAAAAAAAAAAAAAAAAAAAAAAAAAAAAAAAAAAAAAAAAGAAAAGAAAAAGAAAAAGCTAACTACTGCCCTAGATAGATCACAAAAACTCACAGAGTAATAGTTTCTGTTTATCGGTTCAATATTTTTTCTAAGTACAGCTCTGGACTGAATAATACTAGAATACTACAAAAACTGTATATAAATTATAAAACACAGAGGATTAATTTAACAGCTTTCTCATCATACTAACCAACCAAACTTTAAAAATGTGTTTCATTTTTCTCAGTCATAAAACAGGAGTGATATGAGTATACAGACTAAAACAGTTATTTTGAAAGTATCTGAATCTATTTTGAATTAGTGTTTATTTTATTACATTAAAGATAATCTCAGAAAAATCCATGCAGGTGATTCCTTCAACAAAACTAAATGTTTAAAATATAAGCAGTCTCATAAATTTACATATATAAATAAAAGTTTTACAAATAAATTATAAGTTGCCATTTAATCTTTATAACTTGCCATTTAATCTTTGTTTTAGAAAGTTTTTCTTCACTTTAGAGTATCGAAGTATACACATAAACTTATGTCAGTATTATTTGGGATTTTAAATGTATTTTTTAAAATAATGATTATGGCTTAATTAAAATATATGGACTTGGTCATTTGACAATCATTAGAAATGACATCTGTTCCAATGACTAATGATTGTTTTATTTTAAGTTTCAAGCAAACGCCAAAGCAAGAAATCAGATTTTACATACCTCAACTTTCTAAAACTTTTGAATCAAGCACTAATTATTTTCTTTGTAAAACTCTATAGGGTTCTTTTTGAAAACTGTCCAATAAAAGTTTACATATTTATCATGTACAACATGATGTTTTGAAGCATGTATACATTGTCAGTGGACTAAATCAAGCTAGTTAACAAATACATTACCCTACATAGCATTTTTGTGGTAAGGATATTTAACATCTAGTCTCTTAACATTTTTAAAATATATAATATAATATTATCATCTATAGTCAACATTCACAAAATAGATCTATTGAACTTATTCCTCTTATCTAACTGAAAGGTGATAAGTGTGATCAAAGAATATTTGTTTTCCTTTGGAATATTTACTATATTTTAAAGTTTTAAATTATAAGAAAATAATATTAATCATTGACTATCAGATACAATCCTTTTAATTTTAAACAAATTTCAGGTGATTATAAGCCAAGTTTTAAGCATGGTTACAAAAATTTCAAAAAAGATATACTGTTCTATATGTCTTTTTCATTTGAACCATCTAAAGTTTGATCACGGGTGTTTTTCTTGTTTAATTTTAAATATGCAAAATGATTTTATAGTTGCTACCTTAGCCATAATAAAATAACCTTTATAACTTACCATTTAATTTGTATCCATGGATAGAAATGGCCCATCTATTATACAACTTAAGCACTCTGGATTTTGAGGTTTCCCCCTTATATGTATTCCAGAAGAAATTCATATCATGTCTATACTATTTTGTATATTTTATATTATTGATTTTAAAAGTCACTCTTTTTCTCTGCCAATGTTTTGACAATGCTTCTTATTTTGGATCTTTTTCATTAAAATCTTGCTAACACATTGCTTGTGTTAGCTTGAATTTAAAATACCACAGTTTAACTCATACTCTCTGAAATAAGTTTAACCTACAGGGCAGATGTTGGTTCCCTTCTCCCACAAGAGAGTTATTCCACTATTGTCAGGCCACTAATTATTTCCAGAAAGGACATGTCTGCAACCTTTAGTGCCGTGGTGACCAACAGCATCATATACCATCAATACCAATGAGCAACGCCCTTTTCTAAGGGAGGTGTGATGACTTCAAATTATTAAAGATACTAGAGAGTTACATTCTAATGAGATAAGAATAACTGAAAATAGGATTTATTCAAGGACTTCTTTTCTAGCACTTTTATTCTATGTCACCTAGCAGTCCACTCCTATGTAGGTAAGTATATTTTGATGAATGTTTTTCAAATAAACCCAGAGTTGAAAAATCATATTCTCACAAGAACCAGGCAGGTAACGAAAACAGTAAGCTGTTTAAAGTTTGGCCAAGGTACCAGGCTTTGAAAACACTTTTTCAGGTCAAATAACACGCCTTGCCAATGATTTTCAACCACAGAAAACTGTAATAGGAGAGATTCCCTTAAAAGTAGGGTTTTTTTTTTTTTCTTCCATGTGCAAGTTTAAGACAAATATTAATTCATTCAGACTTATTCATACAAAACAGACTTGTTCATAACGTTATCATAGAAAAGTTTATTATTTTTAAAAGAAAAGAAAACAATGAAGAGGTTATAGGGAACAGAATATGATATGGAATGGAAAGTAAGAATTTACAAACAGAGATGGAACTGACTCTAGCACATAAAGTCAAGGATTTCAAATTCACTAACAATAGAAAACAAATCCTTCTCTGTGACAATTAGCTAACAGTAGCCTTTACTTTTTATGTGATAAATATCAACCTAATATTAAATGAATATTTATGGAGGAAATATTTTTAAAAAATATTTGGTTAATAACAAACAGGTAAGATATCTTAGTATAAAACTTGGACAGCATTCCAGTAGTCCCCCTCCCCAAATACTTCGAAATCCTAATAATTTTCTAACAGAGTTTCATCCATATTTCACTTAGATTTTTGGAAATTTAGAGTTTCTGACAGAACTGAAAACCCCAGCTATTCAGTAACCAGATAACTAAGAAAAATGAAACCACATACAATGCTGAAATGGTTACTCTTCCATCTTGTCATTCAGTTTTCCACTGTAAAAGTAAGGACAATGCCCTTTTATGCTGTGAGAAGAGCTGAAAACACAGACATGGATTTAAGGTGCCTGCCTTCAAAACAGTTTGGGCTCCATTGCTTTGATCTCTTCAGATCCTATGCTGAATGGTACTCAGTTCCAGTCTGTGTGTCAGATTCTAGGCACATTTTCACCAAAACGTGCATGGGGTCAAGCTTCCAGTGATCCCTTCTTATATTGTATTTTCTTCTGGGTCCATATGCCCTTGTCACACCACTTCAGAATAGTTTTGACAAAATTTCTGTGGAAGCAGGTGCTGGTTGAATAGAATTAGCATTGCTAATGAAAGGCTAAGCTTCATTCAACTCCTTTCAGGTGCCACACAGTAAGTAGATTTTGAGGTATGTGAGCTCAAGACAGTAGGTAAGTAAACCCTCTCTTTCACTTTCCCCAGAGGGCAGGCAGTGTTGAAATTCAAACTGATAACTTGCTCTGTTATTTTGCATTAATCTGGTGATAATCCAACAGTTTTAAAAACATTGTGTAAAAATTTTAAAATAATTATTTGTAGTTGCATTTGCATGAACAACATATTTATTATGATTGATTCATTGTTGTTAACCTTTAATGTGAGTTACAGTTCTACACATAGGGGGAATAGAATGGCCCACATGGCATTCAGGTTTATTTACCTTCTGAACACTGAGGAATGTCACAGACTTCGTAGCGTACCTCTGGATTGCTTGTGAAACACCAGGGTCCCCCTTCTTCCCCTCGAGGATTTCGACAGTAGTTTTCCTGTAGGTCTTTACCCCGATAGCTCGAAGGCAAAAAGCTAGTTTTAAAATGATAATCATTACAGTATAAGAGCATGCAACTTTTTTTGGCCTATTAATTTTGCTAATTAGTGGGTATGTTTTTGCTGAAAGTAGAAAAATCCTTTATCTTATATTCCTTCATATATTTTAATTTAAATTCTGTCATTTCCATCTATCCTTAAAACCTTTGAATTTTATTAACATTCATTTAGCTGAATTTCCATATTCACCATCAAGTTAGAACAATTAGCCTCTTAATTTGCTAAGAGTCAAACATTCTAGAACTTAATCGATGTTGTTTGAAACATAATTTCAAAACTCCATTAAAAGATAGCAGGTGATTGAGCAAGGCCACTTAGGAGAGAACTGAGAAAATGCTGCCACTGATTTTGAAATCTTACTATTTCTTGCATTACTTGCGATCATTACTTGTTTATTGTTTTTCTTATAAATAGCCCCCTTTTTTCTGCACAATTGAGAAACAGATTCATGAAGTAACATGAATAAAGAGCCCAGAATCCAATTAAATCTGGGCTGAAACTTCAGCTCACTTTCTTACCGTGAGACCCCAGCAAGTAATTTAGCTTCTCTCAGCCTATTAGCTTACCTGTGCACTGAGTATAACCATAACCTTTAACATCTTACACCTTATATGGTTATTTTGAGAAGTTCCAATGGATGATAGAGTAATTGGCACCCAGCAAATGCTACCTCTCATTAAGCACACTCTACTTTATCTACCCTGTCCTAATAAAGAATTGCTTATTCTCTTCAATAATTTTGATCATTTTGACTGACTGGAGCTTAGTGATCCCAATTTTGGTTTATAATAGTAAGCCATTGGGTGCAGTAACTGCAACACATTATCTTCACTTAAAATTTCTAGTGCCCTACTCTTAGTTTTATTACCAGCATAAAGTATTTTAACACATCAGAAAAGGCCAAGTCTTTTTTTATACTTTTGTACTGCTTGTAATATTGGACTCAACAATTAGATATTGCATTTGTCTGCCAGACTTCACACAAAAGATCATAATAAAGAATATACATCGACAGGTAATACCAGTAAACATTTCTTTGAAATTCCAGTAACATTTTTAATATTCAGTTTGGGTTTTGTTCACAGGCTTTATTTCTACTTTTACTGAGGCTTTGAGTTCTAAATGGCCCTAACAGTAGAGTGAAGTCCAAGGATTTTGGTCTCTTAGTAAATACCATTCAAATGCGTTTCCTACCCAATGAAACTTCTAATAAACCATCATTTTTCATGTTGTGACACAAAACAAATACAGGTATGCATCATGTACCAAGCAATATTTTGCAATGAAATTCTTTCATTTTGGCATGAGTACATTCTAGAGTTAAGTCTTCAAAAAATATAAATTATTGGACAAAACAAATAGTGTAAGACACTTATTACTAGCTAAACATTTTCAGGGAACCAATTAAACATTATCCACATTATGCAACTTCAATGCATCTCAACAGTTAATATCCTTGCTTCACCAGCATTCTTCATATGGGGAAATAGAAATAAGACACGTTGTCAGACCGTATGACTGACAAAAATTATAATGCAACTAAAATTCAGCATAATTTCACAATTCCTAACAGTAAACTTTTTTAAAAAGTCATTTTTCTTACTTTTAGCTCTATCATTCCAGAATATTTTAATGCATCTTTTGTTTGGGCTCTGGCTTACTCATTTTTCTGACAGAATCAAATGTGACTTTTGCTTTATATGTTTTCAAGAAGTCATGCACTAATCACATTTATTTAAGCAAAGTATACTATAGCTCTCTTTCATGGAAAAGTTGATACAGTACAGTGTTGAGAAGTTACTTGTTAATCATAAAACTCATACAGTTGCCCCATATCTATCACCTAAATAGTTATATGACCTTAGTCCTTAGACAGTTTATTTACTCCCTGGGTTCTAATTTCTTCACTTAGATGAGTAATACAAACTATAATTTCCCTTTTTCTATATCATTTTATATATTAAGATTATTTAAGAAGCCTAGTAGTTATAGCAAATGTTCAATACACAAATACTCAATATTTATAGTTTGAGAGAGGATTTTAGTCCCCTCTACACATGCACACTGAAATACACAGTGATACACCTGTATACCTTTCCAGTGGATTTGAAAAGCCAAAAAAAGCTGTGAAGAAGTAGTGAATTAATCAGTCAACAATTTATTAGGAAAAATACAGGTAGAAAAGAAGAGAGAATAATGTAGAAATCAAAAGTAGATATGGCCAACAGATGAATAAAGTTCCCCCACTGGAGTTAATAAAATCAAAATGAAGAGAAAAGATGGGCTCCTTTCCACAATTCTGAATCAATCCATATCAAATTACTCTCTAAGACATGAAGGTTAAAGAGCAGTCTGGGTCATCTCTTTTCTTCATTCTATAGTGTATTTTACCTTTTACCTAAATTAACTTTTTTTTTTGTTAGTGTCCCAGTGTGTTTCGCCTGATTTTCTTTAGCACCCCATATTTGACCAAGGGATGAAGCCTCGCAGTGCTATTTCACTTATGTGTGTTCATTCAGCAAGTGTATATGAGAACTCATTACACACAAAGCATGTGCCAGTCAGCAGATTCTGTAATAAGCATTTATTCACATATACACTATTTTTGGTTCTCTGTCCTTGCTGTTGGCAAGGCTTTAAGAGAGATAAGTGAGGAAATGTTTAAAATTGGGTTATATCCAAATATACTTTGAAATATAAACTAGGTCTTCTAGGTGCTAGACTCCCTTTGTTTTCTTTTAATATTCACTGTGCTCCTAGGAAACTTGATCTATTCCATCATCTGATTCATTAATGAATGCTGGGTGGCCAATGAAGGATACAGATGTAGATATCAGGTCACCTGATTTTCTAGTTAAGCTTCTACACTAATTTCATCATCTATCATCATCTTTCCATTAAGCCACTTGTGAAATATTTCAATTTAGGGGTCAACAATAAATCATTCCTCCAGACAGAAACATATTTTCTTTTCCTATTTTCTGTAAAATTAATCTTTAGTCAACACTTAAAAGTGTTAAAACATCATGCAGATATTCCAATAAGCTGCTAATTGATGAAAATTATGTGTTTCCCTCATTGAATGCAACAAAGGATTTTATTAATATATTGGATCCTCTCAGCTGTAAACATCTATATCACAAGGAAGTGTTCATTGGTAAAATAGCTGATTGGACTGGGAAGCCAGTTCCCAGGGAGATCTATTTCATATTTACTCCTCCAGCGGAGAATCGCAACCATAGAAAACTCAGGGTGAAATAAGACCTCTACTAGGTCAGTCCAGTGCATTCTCCTAGACTAGGGTAAGATTGATTTCAAATGTTATTCCTTTGTTCATGAAAAACTTAGATCCATCTACTTAAATAAAATGTTTTCTTCACTATGCAGGGAGTAACACCATGCAAACTCTCAAGAAAGGACAAAACCAATCATAATTTTTGTTTTTGTAATGTAAGGAAAACACTATGTTTTAGAGGTATTTCGACATAATTGTTAAGTAACTAATTTTGAAAGTTGTTGTTTTCTGTTATTGAAATGTAGTAGAGCTGATCAGCTTGGACACTTACTAGCTAGTGTTAATTAGGCCAAGATCATATGTTTAATCCCAGTGTGGAGCAACAAACTCTTTTTCTTTCTGTGTTGGTCAATTAACTCATCTCTGTTTCCTAATTAGAATCATCTTGCAGAATTATGTCCCCAAAATGGAATAGAATAAAAAGTGGATTCAACAAGGCAGTCATCACCACCACTAAGAAATACAAAAAACTAGCTGGGCGAGGTGGCGGGCGCCTGTAGTCCCAGCTACTGGGGAGGCTGAGGCCGGAGAATGGCGTGAACCCGGGAGGCGGAGCTTGCAGTGAGCTGAGATCCGGCCACTGCACTCCAGCCTGGGCGACAGAGCGAGACTCCGTCTCAAAAAAAACAAAAAAAACAAAAACAAAAAAAAACAAATCACAGCATGGATCCTACTGATAGGCCAAATGTTTCATGCCCTGAAGTTGTTAAAAGCATAGGTTACAGAGTGATGGTGACTGGGCTTATATTCTGGCCATGTGACTTTCTAGTTGTGCATGACACTGAAAACTTACTAAGTGTTTTTATGCTTCAGTTTTGTCATGTAGCTAAAATAGAACCAATAAAACTACCCACCGTGTGGTTCTTATGACGAGTAAATAAGATTAACGAGGTACGTTGCTCAGCACGGTACACGGTAAAGTAAACCCTCCAAAGCATTACTAACAAGGGGAGAGTCGTTTAAACTATTTTGGTTTCTGATAAAATTGTATGGGAAATAAGCCTTGACTAATACTCCAGTCAGTGTTAGATATCTATGTTTTTCTTCAATGATGATTAAAACTCTCAGTCTGACGAGCCTAAGTATATTGTGTTTACTCATCTCTAAATAGTATCCATCTGTTGTAATGAACACATTTATCCAATCTGGTCTTTAGGCAATAGGTGAGATGGAAAAGCTGGTCAATCTGAAGCTTGAACTTCTAGCAGTGGTTCTCAAATTTGGCTGCACTTTGGAATCATGGTGGGAGCTTAAAAAATACTGGTGCCTTATTCTTCCCAGAGATTCTGATTTAATTGTTCTGTGTTGTCATCTTCTAAGTAAGATTCGTCGAGGGCTTGCAGCAGGTGATTTTAACGTGCAACCAATGTTGGGATCCACAAAGGTTAAAGAACCCTCAGCTTTCAGTAAGGTAAGAATCTCATCTACCTCTCACTTTTCACAGTCAGCCTCTACCCCTGCACAGTGCCATACTTTTTCAAAGACAGAAAGAGGAAGAAGAATCCTTTTAAATGAGGTTTACATTATTATTTCACAAATACCGAGATCTACAAATTGAGGCATTAAGGTAAGATATTGTTTTGGCTACATTTTATTCACATATTAATTAATCATTTGCTAAATATCAGTCATGAATTCATATAAACCTTGCTGTAGTACAAATCAGGAAGTTGGCTAAGTTATTCTAGGATTGTAGAATTATTCTGAAGGACTAATATGAGACTGTTAACATATATAAAAGACAGAGGCTTCATCCTCTTTTCTTCATACTGTTCTTACCTGTGTTCGTGTGGTATCATGGAACTCCAGGGCTGACATTTGATGCCACTCTTAGTGATAGATACTGTTCCCTTGTAGCTGCGTCCTTTACCAATGATGCAGTTTCTAATGTAGTCTATTGAAGAAAGCAGATAAAATTATTGCAACTATGCAAAACATATGCTGTATTTAAGAAAAAAAAAATCCATTCAAACCTGTAAGTAATTAACTCTTGTAAACTATTTCAAATAACATTGAAATTTCTTGCCTAAAGCTTCTACTAGTATTTTCAAAATAACACATTTTGAATAATCCAAAACAAACAGATGATTGAGAAGTTTTTATTTTGTGTATATATGCATAGATAACTCCAGAGAGCAGTCTCTGTACTTAACATAGTCTGTATACTCAACTAGCCAAGCAATTCTGATTTGCTCACATATATAGACCATTTTAAGAAAATATTAACAACAAAAATTAAATGATTTTTAAAACCTATGTTGAATTCAAAAAGTTACCTAAGATAATTAATTTGTCCTTCTTAGTAAAATTGTGGCGATTTTTGTTTACATATGTATATGCATGAGGTAGCTTGCTTATTTTTTTCCATATTCTTACAAACATTTCCACTGCTAACTGATATGACAACCAAATTGTAATAACCTATATATTCCTATCAAATAATAGTACATGCAGTTGTTAGCAAGCTAGAAGACACTTTGAAGTAGGAACGGTCTTATACTAGATCATGAATTATGTTTAGGATTTGTAGTATTATATACATAAAGATTAACTTCTACCATGAATTTATTTTTAATTTTATTTAAACATTTACCCTATTAACTTGAAAACATCTACATATTCTACCATGTTATGTATCCAAATTTAATAGGACACAGTTAACATTCTTTTATTTCATTTACTTGATTCTGCTTTTGAACAAAGTAAACACCTAGTGAATACAGTATCAGACCACCAGAATAGGCAATCAACAAATAATATGGTCTCAATTCCTCCTTTAAATATTTTTCAAGTATATGTTGAAACATAGTCCCAACTCATTTATCCAAAATCTCCATATTTTGTTATTATCAGTAATCATCACTATAATTTAGTTATCCAACATTGTTAAATGCAAAATACTGTAGCAAACTCAAAATTTGCTGTAATATAAAGTGTTTTAAACTAATGAATTAAAGTAGCACTTTCTAAAATGAACACCGAGAATGCCAGAGGAGATGCTCCTCACGCCCCCTCCAAAAAAAAAAAAAAAAAAAGAGGGAGGAAGGATTCTAGATTATGAAAAGTTTTGAAAATGTTTTCCTTAAAGTACCATACTAAAAATAGTCAAGATACTAGTTTCAACTGTCTTAATGGATGAATTGACTACATAAGATATCTCATATATACTAGAGAAATCAGGGAGAAAGACCACTCTGGCAGGAAATTACAGCATATATTTCATTATACTTTATTATGCACTATTTAGGGAGAAGTCAGTTACCTTTGTTTTCATAGAGGTCAAATTCATGGCCAAATTCTTTCTTCACTCCACTTGACATGCTATTGAAGGGGAACCACAGGCATTGTTTTCTCGCTTTATCAAAAACAAAGGCCCTGAAAAAAATATCAGTGTGAAAAGAAGAAATACTACTGTTTATACAGTATTTAAAGAAAGGGCATATGGTTCATCAAGGAGGACAATATAGAAACGAATGCATAATTACATATACATAATAAAAATATGAGTAAAATTTGAAACTACCATTTTGATAGCCAAGCAAGAAAGAACAAAATTAAGTTTTTGTAGTAGTAGATTTAAATATCAGATTGAATACTCTTTGGAATATTCTCATGTTATTCCAAAAGACTTGTAGAAAAATAACAGTTTTAACATGCAAAATCAATATGTGACACAACTATTTGAACTATTTCTGAAGGCTTTATTTTTCTGTAACTTCACAGAAAGTTGGATGATTTTTATCTGCAGTTGTATAAAATGGTATTATATTTGAGATATTTAAGCTATCTCAATTATATCTGAGATATCAGGAGTAATTTACAAAGTGTATAACTGTAAAAAATATATTCTAAAATGACATTTTCTAAGGTGCATTAGATATATCAATGCCCTAGGAGATTCTCCTAAAAAGTGGGATCTGAAACCAGTGTTTGGAAATTTTTGCATATAATGTAACTTTTTGTTGAATTACAAAACATTGCAGTTTATTAAAAGCTATGAAAATGTTGTTGAGGATAACTTTTTTTTTTTTTTTTTTTTTTTTGAGATGGAGTCTCGCTCTGTCACCCAGACTGGAGTGCAGTGGCCGGATCTCAGCTCACTGCCTCCCGGGTTTACGCCATTCTCCTGCCTCAGCTTCCCAAGTAGCTGGGACTACAGGCGCCTGCCAACTCGCCCAGCTAGTTTTTTGTATTTTTTAGTAGAGATGGGGTTTCACCGTGTTAGCCAGGATGGTCTCGATCTCCTGACCTCGTGATCCACCCGTCTCGGCCTCCCAAAGTGCTGGGATTACAGGCTTGAGCCACCGCGCCCGGCCGAGGATAACTATTTAAGCTAATATTTCCTAAATAGGTTTGCTTATATAAGCTTTTCTTTTTCTCTGTGTGTGTGTGTGTGTGTGTGTGTGTGTGTGACAGTCTTGCACTGTCGCCGAGGCTGGAGTGCAGTGGCGTGATCTCCGCTCACTGCGAGCTCCGCCTCCTGGGTTCACGCCGTTCTCCTGTCTCGGTCTCCTGAGTAGCTGGGACTACAGGCACCCGCCACCGCGCCGGGCTAATTTTTAGTTTTTGTATTTTTAGTAGAGATAGGGTTTCACCGTGTTAGCCAGGATGGTCTCGATCTCCTGACCTCATGATACGCCCGCCTCGGCCTCCCAAAGTGCTAAGCATTTTTAATTTTAATTTAAAGAAAACTAGTAATATTAGAGGATATCTTTTTGATATAACATCTCAAAGAAAGTTACGAAAACTTGCCACCCCTACTATTCCTATAGCTAAGTATTATATTTTTTTGTCATTGTTCACTAAAATAATCTATGTATATAACAAAATGATAAATACCCAAAAAAGTGATAAATTTGTTTTTAAGTAATTCTATCTGTAAAGTGGGTAACAAGATTTCCAGTTTGCTGATCTCATTCACTCTTTTCTCTCGTTCCAATGCAATGACAAATTCTTTAAGAAATGTGTTTTTTATATTGTTTTACACCTCCATATAAAGTGGGTGGAAGCCATCAAATTCCATGAGTTGCATCTTCTTTTAGGTTTGACTTTTAGAGTCTTTATCTTAACATCATTCTAGTTGTAATCTTTTCAACAGCTTCTTTTGTCTATTTCCTGGTTGTTTATGGCAGGAAAACAATTCCAGTAGCAGTTGCCAGCCATGGCTAAAAGAGGAAAGCTTCTTATCTTATTCTTTTAAGCGAATTCGTGAATGAGCTATTTCCTGAAGAGCTTTGAATCAGACATTCTTGGTCATCTTTCCTACCCAGCAAAGAAGAATTTGAATCTCTAGAAAACTAATATTGTTGATATCTTCTCAAGAACAAACAGTACTTAAGAATGTTCCACCTCACACCCATTCACTTCACAGATGGTTTTGCACACTTCTTTGGTATTTTATAAGTGGTTTAGGGTATTTTTCATTGTTTTTAAATAATTCTGTTTTATATAACATGTCTACAAATAAGATCCTTTGATTCATTAAGACCCTAAGTTCATAGTATCATAGTATGTTAATTCAATTCTGTATAGCTAACATATTTAATAATTTCAAATACATAAGAGTGTGTGTGTGTGTGTGTGTGAACAAGGAGGATTTTACCATTTCTGGGCCAATAAATCTTGGCTCTAATACATAATATTACCTGTGGTTTTCTGCACAGGTTGCCATAAATTTGGAGACCAAATATAACAACCAAAATATGGTAGGAAAGTATGAAATTTCATATATATGGAATATGTGAGCACTTACTAATTTATTAATGTCTTCTCTAGTAAAATCATTTTAGTTCCTACTAAATAAAATAAGAGGAAAGTTCTTCTTTCCTAAGTATAAGGTTGACTAATGTGAAAATTGAATGCTAGCAATACTTTCCTTACTTATGGGTCCAAGAGAGTTTATTTTCAAAGTTAAAAATCAGCCATGAGGTGTCCTCTCCTTCCCTTTATCCTGCTCTTCCAACCCGGAGAGGGGAAAATACAACTCTATCCTCCTCAACTGCTGGAGCATCTCCATGAATCTACACAGCTGAGATGTTGATTGAGAGTAGTTGTCTCTATTTTTAACAATAGCAAGGCTTTTTTTTTTTTTTTTTTTTTTTTTGAGACAGAGTCTTGCTTTGTCACCCAGGCTAGAGTGCAGTGGCCGGATCTCAGCTCACTGCAAGCTCCGACTCCCAGGTTCACGCCATTCTCCTGCCTCAGCCGCCCAAGAAGCTGGGACTACAGGCGCCCGCCACTTCGCCCGGCTAGTTTTTTGTATTTTTAGTAGAGACGGCGTTTCACCATGTTAGCCAGGATGGTCTCGATCTCCTGACCTCGTGATCCGCCCGTCTCGGCCTCCCAAAGTGCTGGGATTACAGGCTTGAGCCACCACGCCCGGCCAATAGCAAGGCTTTTATAGGAAACTCAGGGAATGAAACAGAATTATCATAGGAATATACTGGCAAAGTCAATTCCCACTCCCCTTGCCGGGAACTATCTCCCTGAAATTGGCAGTTTCACTCTAGACATTGAAAGCAGATAGTCTTTCCTCAACCTAAACCTGATAAAGATCTTTTCTGACCATGCTATTTCCTCTCAGGCCCATAACATTTATTTCTCTGAAAAAGGCAAGATGAAATTAGGACCGCTTGCCATGACCTTACTAAACCCTGTGGTCACATTACGGGTCACCACCTAAATGTAATCGAGTAGAATTTAATATGTAGAGGATTTTATGCATGACCCAACTAAAAAAAAAAAAAAAAAAGAAAAGATAAAATAGGGAGTGAAAGACTGGGAAATAAGTGAGGGAAGATAATGAAGAACTAAAAAAATGTGTCTTCTTCTGACAGTTTAGGAGACTATTAGAATGAAATTGTCACCCTCTTAGCCCAAAACAAAAAGTTTTATGCTCTGGGATCACTGGCAAAGTAGTAAGGCATCAGTTCCCAATCTTTTTGGCACCAGGGACTGGTTTATTTTTCCAAGGGGGTGGAGTGGGGTGGGGGTCCAGGGAGCGGGGGATGGTTTTGGGATGAAACTGTTCCACTTCAGATCATCAGGCATTAGATTCTCATAAGGAGCACACATGCTAGATCCCACGCATGTGCAGTTAACAATAGGGTTCAGCTCCTATGAGAATCTAATGCCACAGATACAACAGGAGGTGGAGCTCAGGCAGTAATGCTCACTGGCCTGCAGCTCACTCCCGCTGTGAGGCCTGGTTCTTAACAGGCCACAGACTAGTGGCAGGGGTCCGGGGTTAAGGACCCCTGGTAGTAAGGAATTCTTCCCTATGAGGTCACACAGGGACTGTCAAAAGACATGAAACTCTCCATTTAAGTCCCCTCATGCCTCTTTAAACTGCCCCATCAATTTTCACCTGAAACTTTACTGTTGCTATCCTCTTCTTTTAAACAGTCTCTGCTGACACCAGTCTCTCTAATTTTTAAACTAATTCTCTCAACACCTTTTATTTAAATCCCTAAAAGCTATGATATAATAAAGTTGAAGTAAATTTTGGCTGCTGCCCAATTTCTGTTCTAAAAATTCCTCCGTTCCTCTTGCAAGGAAAAAAAAAAGGTTACTCTGAATAGATACTTTAAAATATTAGGGAGATCAGAGCCAATTGAATTTCATTTTAGTTACTCAAATTCAATTGCTCATCAGATGAGCAAAGAAATTCCATAAGCAAAGCCACTGTGGATTTTAGAAGGTAGCAGTTTTTGCACTCTCCCTTACTCAAGCTATGTTTCGATAAACTGAGAGCTAAGTCTTCCTTTGTAGTCAGTTAAATCTAGAATCAAAGTTACTTATGATCAAATCACAATGACTACAACACAAAAGAGACACATGATTATAATACATACATGCTATATTTGGAAAATTATTCTAAGAACAAAATGAAGTAACTTACTTGCAAGTGAATGGAAGTCCATTATTCCTAGTACATCTATTAGCACATTGGTCTGCAGTATTCACTTTTTTGGTTTTTATCTTCAGTGCTGGATCTATTTTGATTAGGGTAGTCTTTGCTGATTTTTTGAATTCATGAATTGTATTTCTTCTTTTCTTATGTCCCTCTATTAAATACAAAATGTTTGAAAAAAATAAACATTGGAGAAATGTTTTTAAGGTTCATATATTAAAAAAATCCCAAGAATCATCTACAAGACAGTGATTTTACCTAACAATATACTAGATTTCCAGGGGTTAAGAGCAGAGTGAGGTAGGGAATAATTAAGAGAAAGAGAGGAATATTGTAAACACGTAAAAACAAATAACTTGTCATGTAGAGTCACTCATTTACATTCTTTCAAATTAGGGAACTTTTAAAAATCAGGACAGAGTTCACACTAAAGAAATAAATAACATGATATTTTCCAAACATCATGAAAGCAAATATCAGTGCTAGAAGCATATCATATCATGCTTTATAGTTAAACTTTTCATTTCCTTCTACAATTGGTCCTCATGTACATTATAGTATTTAATGAGATAAGCCAACACAAAGACAGGCGAGAAATTTCTCACTAAAAACTGTGCAGTGGACAAATTCTTCTGACCTACTCTTTAAAGTCTTTCATATTATTCATATTTTAGCCCCCCTCTCCTCATTTAATGCATAAATGTTTTCTGTGCTTTTGGACACTATTTCTTGGTATCACTGAACTATTTGTCTTGAGATCAAGCCAAATGCTGTAAATCAAATGTATGTAAAACTTCATCCTTTAATGTAGCAATATCATTTTTCTTCATGAAAATACAAGGCGCCTAGATAGCATGAAGCCTCCTACTGAAAACCTGAAAAATAGAACTAAAACATTCTAAAAGACTTAATCTTATGGATAACTTTAGTGTATCAAAAACTTGTTCTCTGTATTCTCAATTTGCCCAAAATAGCTCCAATCTGTTAGTGATCAGCATCTTCACAATGCAGATCAAAATGTTGAATAGAATGCAACTATTGTGTAATAAGGATAGATGCGCTTGTGCTCCTCTGCCTGTCAATTCTTTTTGAACATGCTTATACTAAAGGCGGTAAGGATACATTCATTTTTCAGTCAAAGAAACCAAGACATAGAAAAAAAATTAATTGACCACTTAGAATATCTCAGATTGGAAACCCAGCAGGCTGGCTTAAAAACCACCACTCTGAACCACTGACCATGCCATCTGTATCTAAGAACTGCTAAGATGTAATGGAAATATGGCATGTAGCATTTTCCTAAAGATTTGGTTTAGAACTAGCAGTAGAGAAGAAATGTGGATAGTAGAGCAGGAAATACATTCCTGATCTGTATCTGTGATGAAATGTGTCAAAAAAGGAGAGTAAAAATTTGTGTGCACGTAATTTGGAAATACACCTAGCAGAGTGAGGTACCAAAAATGCCATCATACTCTAAGTTTGTCAGCAACCACTGGCTCCAGTTGGTTTATGAGATGAGCAGATGCTACTAATTAGTGTCCATCCTAATTTGAAGGCTGCAATAAATTAGAGAAAACATGAGGTCCTCTAAATTTCTGAATCTCTGTAAAACTCCAAAGCAGAGTCTCCAAAAGATAATACTAATTCTGCAATGATGCTTTCATTTTTAATTTTTATTTGCCTTACAGGATAGAATGGCTATGGTACAACAGATACAGTTTATAAGACATTTTAACATGAAAATGAAATTAACCAAAAATTCTGTCAACATCTTATTTATTGAGCATGGACCAAATGCCCTGTATAACACTGGCAATCTTATTGACTTGCCAAATTACTTTAATTACCTGAAATGTTAACACCCCAATTTCTCAATCTAAAATATAAAAGTTATGTTAACTTGATAACCTTAAGTAAATGTTTGAAAATCAATTTGGATTTTTTAAATGTTATAGATATGCAAAGTTTTAGTTCTGTTTTTGAAATTTTATCCTTTAATCTCTGGCATGAAGAAGGAACTGTTATTCTTCCAAGCAAAGAAGGCATAATTCATTTCAAATTTTGGTTTCTGTCACAGAACCATGTTAATAGGAGATAAGTTTTTCCATTAAGAGTTTCTCTTTCCTTTGACCTTATTACCCGATTTCTAAGGTGCTTTGAAATGCTTCATAGCATAATAGTTATATAATTTCCTGTATAAATTTGAATGTTTCTTAGAAATAAATGATAGTTAATGGATGAAAAAAAAATCTATGAAACAACTGTTCAACAAAATAGAAGAGTTTTGTACACATATTTCTCAAATATGTGTATAATTATATTAACTAAAAATATAAAATTTAAGTTGGCCTGATGTATAATGTATTTAGTATACACGTCTAAGTGTGAGGGAAAAGCATAAAAATCAAAAAGTCTAAGACAAACATTAAATTGTAATATATTTTAATGTATCAAATGAAACAAAATCTCTGGTCAATGTTCTGGTTTCTTTTCCCAATGCCACGCAAAATGAAGGCAAGTCATGAAGAAGATTCTGGAGAGCGGAGGTCTCCATGGAATTGTTGATTGTATTTAATTCTGAATCTCCTCAGTTGTCCTACTGAAATGTGTTAATGTTTTGTTGTACCTCAAAAAAACAGTCTACCCTTGCTTGCTGACAAATTTTCCAATCACTACCTTTCATCTAAAGATCAAAAAGCATTTTGAAAAACAAATAAATCTATTATTTCCCTTTACTAGATAATAAATAGAAGTGAAAAGCTTGTCTGGGGCTACAAAGCTATCAGGGGCAATCAGAACCAGACACCAGAATTCTCTTCTCGCTATTTTGTTCTCATGACATAGAAACTTTCCCTTTTAATGAAGTCATTTATACTAAGCCAGTAACTAATTACTAAAAAATATGAAGTTGGAGCTAATTGTACATCATGTAATCCACACATCTATAAAATTAATTCCTTATTCAATAAAAGAAAAATTCAAAACAGAAGTCATTCAAAAACAGCATCTGAAAATAAAATTCCTTTGCTGAAAATAGTTTCAACTTTCTCTTCCATATGTATTAACAACTGATGCTTGTTTTACTGAAAACAGTTAAAAGCCAAGCTTAATTTGGGAAGAAACTCAAAAATATCTTTGGATCAGATTTGTCCCTACTATTTTTTGTGCGTGACTGTTAGCTGAAGTTTATAAACAGAATATTGAAATGAAATCAAAGGGTGAGAGATCACTACAAATTTGTCATGCTTTCCTGTGCTTTAAATTACAACTCCTTTTTCCTCTTCTCCCAGTATGGTAAAACATTCTGGAAGCTATATTTCCTGAAGAACCTAAAGTCCCTGTCTTAGAGCTGAAATCATTAGGATCCTAGTGAAAACCTACACACAGAAAGTAGGGTCAAATGTATCAAGGTGCTTGAAGAAAGACACATTTCTCCCTCTAGTCCCAGCACCTCACACTCATTTCTCTCAGTACCTCATATATTTTCTTCTCTGTGTGGACTAACCATTTACTTCAAAGGAAAATCATGCAAGGAAAGGATTTGCAGGGTGTGGAAAGAAGCAGGAATCTGGCTCCACATATTCTGAGAAACCTATCCACATGATTAGTGATTAACAGTTTGAAGTGGCAAGATGTTAAGATGAAAGTACACAAATAATTAATGGAAGGGAATGGTTGGGACTGGAGATTGTAAACTCTCCAAAGCCAAGAATTTCAAATAGAAATCTAAATTTTCGTTATTATCTAAGACATGGATTTTTGCAAATTGGCAGTCATCTCCCCTTATTTAGAGAAGGCAACACTATCACAAATAAAGATACCAAGAAGACAGAGACTGTGTCAGATGTAAATCAAATGCTAGTATTTGAGAAGCTGCAGCATCACCTCTTCCAAGGGGATTTACAAAATGAAGTGATGTTCAGTGTGATTTGAGGGGCCTCCCTAGGTATTTTCTTCCTTCTCCTTCTTTCCAGTTCTTATTTAAGGCTTCATTCTTCTAGAAGCCTAATCCTGGCCTCCACCTTCACAGTCTGTTTGTGCCTACAACTTTCCTTCCACACAGGAACTGAAGCAACCACACTGAAGAACAACTTCAATCAAGTATTTTTTCAACAAAAAACTTCCAGCTGCTCCCATGATGTTCATTTTAAAGACTACATGGTTGAGCATGACATTCAGTCCTATCCATTCTACCTCATCTTACTTTTCCACTCACAGACAATATTCCGCATCACATGCCCAGTACTTCTGCCTCAAATGCTTGCCTTCAGTTGCTGTGTGGGGTCCTTCCTGGGACATTCCTTGTACTTATGAACCTCTGGACTTTGGGCCACTTGTGTTCCTGCGCTAAGGTACTGACTATTCTACCATCTATCTTTTCATATTGACTTTAGTACCATATGACCCCTTAACCTGGTTTGATTCTCTATGCTAGAAATGAACTCTCAACCATAGTACAAAGTATTTCTAACCGGGTTTTTTTTTTTTTTTTTTAATATATCACTTAGTCAAATGATTTTTTAAAATTAAGTTTCAGTTGATTTCGCTGCTGCTGGCTTCAATATAAATGAAAAAAGAAAAAAAACACGTAGATTTCATTCACATAGATTTGGGTAGGAACCTCAGCTCTGTCCCTTAACTCACAAAGAAATAAGATAACTGAGGTCTTTGAACCTCAGTTTCCTCAGGCAAAATGAGTCCAATAGTGCCAATCTTATTAGAATTAAGTAAGATATACTTTACTACTTGGTTCATATCAGTTACTCAGCAAATTTAAGTTCCTTTCTCATTTGTTCATCTTTACATCCCCCACATACTCTTGAACATTAGGTGCTCATTTAATGCTTCTTTTATTACAGAGGATTGGATATTTGTTTCCCATGTAGGTGGGAGTGAATAGAGGGTAATTCTAAATAGGCTAACTCCTACAAAGATGGCTTGGGCCCTTTATATTGAATATTTCTTAAGAAGCTTTTAAAAAAAGTATCTCTATAATGTATTCTGTTGATAACTGGTTGTCAACTTACAGTATATACTTCTTTCCTAACAATGTGTTATTTTATAATATGTACAAATATAAATTCGTAGAATAAATAATTATAATCAAAGCTAGTAACAACAACAAAAGAAACCTCTAAATAGTCAATACTAAATGACATTTAAAAAAGAACAAACTTTTATGTGTTTAAGAGGCTACCCATGTTTTTTATTTTAAAGGTTATTTAAAAAACTATCAAAATAAACTGGCCACCTAAACAAAGGCGGACCCTCCTTTGATGACAATTTTAGAATTATCCACTTCAGGAATTATTCACAGCATATTTGTAATTCCCAACTGGACTCTCCTTGCCTGCCAGCACTCTTGGGCTGCATTCTGCCTGTACTCAGGAAACACAGTCATTTCTACATTAGGCAAAGTGAAATATAATTATAAATGTATGTCTCCTGCCAAAAGTTCATAATGCATGCCAAAAACAAATAGAAACTGCCTATGGTTGATCTACTGTTTGGGTTTTCCACACTGTGTTCCCCTTACATTCGCACAGATGAATTCAGGTAACCAGATTCTACTTCAGAACAGTGACATTTTAATCTTTAAAAATGAAAACCCTCAAAATATTAGCCATTATTTCAATTTAAGCTCAAAATCCCCTAAAACAGCAGTTGTCTGTGAAACTTTTTTTTTTTTTTCTTCTTCATCTTGAGATGGATTCTCACTCTGTTGCCCAGGCTGGAGTGCATGGCACAATCTCGGCTCACTGCAACTTCCACCTCCCAGGTTTAAGCAATTCTCCTGCCTCAGTCTCCTGAGTAGCTGGGACTACAGGCACCCGCTACCACGCCTGGCTAATTTTTTGTATTTTTAGTAGAGACAGGTTTTCACCGTGTTAGCCAGGATGGTCTTGATCTCCTGACCTCATGATCCGCTCGCCTCAGCTTCCCAAAGTGCTGGGATTATAGGTGTGAGCCACCGCACCCGATCCTGTGAAGCAATTTTAACATGACACATCTCAAGCATGATAACCTGCTTGATTTGAACTCACTTCTTTTTAACTTCTTCAGAAATCTTACCTAAATGTTTTCAAAGCGACCCTTCCAAACAGCGTCATTTTCCAAAAGGGCCATTTCACAAAATAAAAAAAAACCAGGTGGGTTGAATGATTTTCCTTTTCATTTAGCAAATTCTTGGGGTTTTTAACCCTTGTACCATATCAAAAACTAGATCCGAGGCCTGATAAATTTCATATTTAACATCTCAAAAGATACAGCCAGTTTCCTTTTTTATATTGTAAAAAGGCCATATCTCCATCTGGGCATTTGTTCCACTCTTTTATTCCCCTGTGCCCACCCTTGATATTCACTGCCTTCTCCCGTTGGCACTTCAGCCTCTACAATGATAATACAACAAAATACAGATGTTTCCTCTTGCCCTGATAACAAGAGAAACTTCCCAAAGCAGCAAATGAGATCTCTAAACCTCCAGGCAATATGAACTTTCAAGCGACTCCTCCCCAACCGGCAAACCCAAGGGAGAGAGTGGGAGACAGAGAGGGGCAATTCTGCAGCTTTAATCAAAGTCTTCACGCACTGCAGTTTCCAAAGGGCAGACATCCACACCCAGAAAGGATAAGATCTGCAAAAAGAGGCTTTCTCTTTCATTTTTATGATATGCAAATAATCAGTTTATTCTGCCTCCTGAAAATGAAAACCTGTACAAAGTTGTAATTTGACCCCAAATGTTGACTAGGTGATGCGGAATAGTGGATTATTATGAAAAATTTTTCTCTGGAAAAAGATGACTTCCTGCTGGACTGTCCATCACTCTTGCCTCTTCGGACCAGACCCTCTCTTTAGCTTTAAACTAGTCCAAAGCAGCCAAGTTCAGCCAGTATTAGCACTTCCTCCCTATCCCATAATCCACAACTATTAGGCTAAGTGGGACAGGGCTTGGGTTGGGGGTGGAGGGGAGTTGAGGGAAAGTTAATTATCATTTTAAATGCTATTCAAACAAACAAACAAAAAAAGAATGTCAAAAGCAAGCATAATGAGAGCTTTTAGAAACCTATACTACATACTGAGTTCAGAAAGGATGCTGGGAATAGGATAAAAAGAGGGTGTTAAAAGGAATAGGGAAGGTTAACAGGAGACTTAAATACTAATAATAATAAAGAAGAAGAAGAAGGAAACTAACCTGCATAGGGGATGGCGATGGGGACCAGGAGGAGATGCAGGAGGATATGCTGCAGCAGCAGGGCTGGCAGGAGTTTGGTCACCCACATGGTGCTGCTGGACGGGCTGGCGGATCCCTCTGGAGGAGATGCCTGGGTGAAAGAATCCTGTTCGGAGTCAGTGCCTAAAAGAGCCAGTCGGCTCTGAGCTGCTTTTTATTGCGATGAGCTAAGTTTGTTGTGTGATTAACTGGAAAGATCTAGGTCTGAACTCCCTCTTACGGTAAGAAACTGTTTAACAACAGCCCTTTACTCTCTTCCAGCCCCCTCCTTTCCTCACTCGCCCCCCCACTTCAACACCACCAAACAGATCCCTGCACTCCCCCATTCCCCGCCTCCCCCCAACCCCACGCTTAGGAAAGAAACTTACAAAGAAAAGGTCACCTGGCCTGAGGCCAGCTTCAATTTGGAAGCTGGAGCTCCAGATCCCAGTGGCTCCTATCCGAGTAAGGCAGGGAGGAGCAAGGCTGAGCCCAATAGCTAAATCAAGGCACAAGCAGAGGACCATTCGCTCAATTTAAACAGGAAAATACATGTGTTTATATATCTATTTGGGAAAAGAGGAAGGGGAAGCAGCATAAGAAGAAAGCGAAGAGCTGTCTTTTAGCCAAATGTGCCCCAGCTCCTAATCTGTCTAGTTTTCCTGCTAGAGCAATTGAGGGATTCAAAACACTGACACAGGTTCTCTAGGGGTTTAGAGACCTGGGAGAGGAGGGAGAGGGGCCAGGGAGGAGAGCCCAGGCAAGTCCAGCCCAGGTAGAAAGAGGTTAGGTAAGAAAAGGGTGTGGTATTGTGGGGCCAAAATAAGCAAGCAAAACAAAAGCACGCAGATTGTCAGATGAAAAATGTACCCCTGCCCCATGGGGTCAGAGAAAGCAGGTTTTTTTGTTTTTTGTTTTTTTTCCCACAAACTGTGCTAAACTCACGAAATACCACACATTTTCCCAAAGTATACAAAATAAACTTGTCTGATCTGACTTTTTAAGAGAAATTCCAAGAAACAGTCATTGTCCACAGCCTGTTCCTGACAGGTAAATATGCCATGTGTCCTTGTACAGGCACACACGTGCACACAACACATATTCACACATGTTGGTGTGTACATACGTATGCACTGGCTAGGACTGACTTTCACCGGAAATCCCTCAAGCTGTTCGAATTCATGAGTGTTGACTATGCCTCTCTTTTCCAGCTTCATCCGCCTGTACACGACAGCCAGCTTCCCAAAGTGTAAGTGGAAGGATGAGGCGCTTGTATGGGGATGGAGGGACTGCTAGGTATCAAATCTTTGTAAGGTCATTGCACAGACCGCTCACTTGATTCAGAGATTTTGTCTTTGCACCCAGAGGTGGATGCTCTGGTAACTTTAAGCCAGAGCCTGCTTTATTTCTAATGGATGCTGAGGGAGAGTTGCCCCTGTGTCTCTCTGAGATGGATATTATTAGAGAACAGTGCCCCTGTCCACAGAGGAAGAGAAAGCAAACCGAATGTGGAAATGACTAGAGCAGTGTGTAGCTGTACAGAAGTAATTGTGGGGCTGAATTAAACTCATCCACAGAACAGCCTTCCCTCCACATACCACCTTCATTTGTCCTCCAGCTCCCCTACCCCAACTTTCAGGGAAAAACGACCTGCCTGATAAGTCCCTGAGGTTGTGGGATATCTGGAGAAGCTAGGGATTAAGCAAATTCCTTTTGAAGGATCTATTTTATATGACCCATTTCTATTGCTAATCCTTCTCTTTTATCATTTTCTCCTTACTTAAAATTCATTTGTCAGCCTCTCTCTGGTGTCCCCAGGATCCATTTTACTTTCTTTTTACTGTTCATTAGACCTTTTGGGAAATCTCAGTTCACTGTATTGCCTGACCATAACCCTGAATTGCTCCACTGCATCTCTTGTGCTTTATTAAAGTGTAGGGACTCAGAAAGATGATACCCCAAGTGAAGACCTCAGAAGCAGCTCTCTCCGACCTTCTCTTGCCCTCCAGTCTCCGGCCCTTCATTCTCCCCAAAGGCGAGCCGTAGAAACTAGAATCCCTCTTTCCCAAGGTGGCTCCTAGTAAACCAGAACCCTTTTTCCCAAACCAGCCATAAAACCTAAACATATCACTCTAACACCTCAACTTTCTGTGTGAAATCTGGCCATAAAGACATTATCTGACCTACCTTGTTTGATCGTAGCTCATAAGACCCCATTCCAGAGAAGGTCCTGCCCCATACCCAGAAGGAATGAGTGTTGCACAGATATACCAGGAAGAATCTCACCTTGCCAGGCATCCCCACTCAGTTTGTTAGCATGAGATCATATTCCTTTTGTCCAGTTGTATTTCTCCACACCTGCCCACACTTTGTTGAACCTAAGCATAAAAATGGACAATTTCTTTTGTAACTTTGGGTCTTTGTTCTAAAGGCTCTCGTGTTGTATAAAATTATGATCAAATAAATGTATATGCCTTTTTCTCCTATTGATCTGCCCCTTGTCAGTAATTTTTTTAGCAAAACTTCAGTGAGCAATGGAAAAGTTTTCCCTTGGCCCAACAAGGGATTAAGGCTGTTTTAAAAAGAAGCTAGATTTTTCTGTAAGTAAATTCCTGTAGGTAAGGAAAGAAAACGAACATTGTTTCTACTTATTTTTTTCTCTCAGAAAAAACTAGAGTCAGGGTTGAAAATTATTGTTATAAGTTAGGAGCAAAATCTATCCGGGATAAGGGGTTCAGGACATTAGAAAACTGAATAAACTTATTTATTAGGTCACACGTTTTCACGACTTTTTTTACTGTCATATTAAATATGGTAAATACAACTAAAAATCTATATAATTTATTTGTATTTCTTTTTGACAAAAATTATTTGGTCTTTCTTTACTGAAATTGTTGCTGATATGCACTGAGCTCTTAATGTATGCTAAGCATCATATTACATACCATTGAAAATTATTTAATTCTTACAGAAAGTTTAAGATTATTAAAATTCTCATTTTATAGTTGAGGAAACATAGGTAAGTTATTTTTATTCTTAAATAACTTGCGTTTAAGATCCCGAAGTAATATTCAAGTGTGAGATTCAGATTAGTCATACTCCATAGGATGGTATACATTTTCTTTAACCCCAGGAGGAGAAGAATCACATGTTCCAGAGTATAATCACCAAAATAAGTCTAAGACTGGATATATAGGAGGTGCTCCATAATAATTTATAAAATAAATCAATACACAATTTTAAATCTCGTAAAACTATAAAGAAATATTCAAATGAAATTCTAATTATGCTATTAGTTTAGTCTATTTTGATAACACATTCTCTTTGTTCTTTCTACATCATACACTGTTGTTTTCCCATCATCTACTGATTGCCTTACATAGTCATACATCATTTTATTGCTCTTCACTTTATTGTACTTCACAGATAACGTGTTTTTTTACAAATTGAAGTTTTGTAGTGTCCTCGAATTGAGCAAGTCTGTTGGTGCCGTTTTCCCCACAGCGTGTGCTCACTTTGTGTCTCCGTGTCACATTTTGGTAATTCTTGCAATATTTCAAGTAGTTCATTATTATTTTACATGATGATCTGTGATGAGTGATCTTTGATGTTACTGCTATAATTGTTTTGGGCACCACAAACCACAACCCAAACTTAATCCATTAATGTGTGTATTCTGACTACTCCACTGACCAGCTGTTCACCCATCTCTCTCCCACCCCTCAGGCCTCTCTATTTCCTAAAACACAACATTATTGAAATTAGGCCAACTGATAGCCCTGCAATGACCTCTAAGTGTTCAAGTGAAATGAAGAGTTACATGTCTCTTCCTTGAAATCAAAAGGTAGAAATAATTAAGCTTCTGGGGAAAGGCATGCCGAAAGATGAGTTAGGTCAAAAGCCAGTCCTCTTGCACCAAACAGTTACCCGAGTTGCGGATGCAAAAGACAAGTTTTTGAAGTAAGTTAGAAGTGCTACTCCAGTGAACACACAAATGATAAGAGAGCAGAGCAGCCTTATTGCTGATATGCAGATAATTCAAGCAGTCTAGATAGAAGATCAAACCAGCTGCAATATTCCCTTAAGCCTTAGGCCAAAGCCACAGCAACACTCTGAACATCAAGCAAGACTCTCCATCAGCGAAAAGATTACCACTCACTGAAGGCTCATACGATCGTTAGCATTTTTTAACAATAAAGTATTTTTAAGTTAAGGTATAGACATTTTTAAACATAATGCTATTGCACACTTAATAGTCTGCTGTGTAACTTTTATATGCACTGGGAAACAAAAAAAAAATTCATGTGACTTGCTTTATTGTGATTTTTGCTTGATCACAATGGTCAGAAGCGAAACGAGCAGTATCTCCAAGGTAAGCCAGTACTTCTTAAGTGTTAAACAGTTTGTATAAATCCCCAAAAAATTGTGTCTGAAAAGTTTTTGATAAAATAAAATAACTTGTAAAGAGATTACTTTAAATATTGCAATTTATGTAAATACTGAAATGCTAGATGGATACTCATTACCCTATAATACCATTTTAAATCTGTCCTATGATTGAGGTTTCTAGTATCATGGATACTAGATGGATTTAATGGAAAAGCCTCTATTACTGAGCTTTTTAAAAGGCTGCTGCTTTAACACAGTATCTTTCTTTGTCTTAAGCTCATGTTTCTCCACAAGTGATGCTTATAAGTTCGTTCGTACGTGGGGAATAAACTGACATGACCTTATGATCTGCAGATTACTAATGAGTTTTGTATTCTTGAACTGGTTATTTTGTTTACTAAATGCCTGTGATTACTAATGCGTTTTGTGTTCTTGAACTGTCATTTTATTTATTAAATGCCTGTCACATGCCAGGTGCCATTCTGTTTCTGCTACCACTTTGACAGGCTCAGCTTAGTCATAGGCCTGCTTTCAAATCCCAGCTGAGTCACTTACTAAAACAATTACAAATTGAGGGAGCTAATTTATTGCCCTAATACCTCAGTTTCCCTATCACCAAAATGGGACCCTATGTGTCAGGTGCTGTACTAAACACTTCATACGTATTATCTCACTTGCCCTTACACCTTGCCTCAGGAAAAAAAAAAAAAAAAAAAGGTATGTGTATCTAAGAGGTATATCTAATTATTGTCATTGACTTTCAGGTATTGAAATCATTTAGAGATGGTGACTTGGTTTAGGTTAAATTGTTAATGAAATGTGATTTGAAGACACCAGCTATCCAGGTATCAAATCACTGCTATCAAACACTATGCCACATTGAAAGAGATCCAGATTAAGAAATTTCCAGCATTGCTTCTATCTTTAAAATTAGATTATCCTACTTATCTGAATTCTTTGGTGGCCACTATACTTCTATACAATTCTTACCTTCCAAACCTATGAAGGAAGCATTTGTGTAACCTTTGGTATTGCTTACTTTTCCTATACGACCGTATCGTCTCACTCTTTTCCTGTTTGTTGATTCTACCCTCTAACTGGTCATTTTTTTATCTTTAGACCTCACCACTGAATATGTTGACTACCTTTAGTATAGGAAATATTACAAAATTCACTACAATTTGAATCAGACAAAAACCGCTTTAAACATGAAACAGAAACTAAAATCTATATGACACAAGCAAGCA